CGTCGTTTTTCAGACCCATACGTGAAGATATGCTTAATCTACAACGACAAAACGATCGCGAAGAAAAAGACTCGCGTGAAAAAGCGCAGCCTGGAGCCGGTGTTCAACGAGTCGTTCGTCTTCGACGTGCCACCAGGTGACATGGACCTGATGAATTGCGTCAGTTTCGAGTTTTGGGTCGTCGACTGGGATCGCATAACGAAGAACGAAGTGATGGGCAGAGCGGAGGTCGGCTACAGGGCAAAGACGTACAAGGGCAGAACTCACTGGGAGGACGTCTGCCGCAATCCACGAAAACAGATCGCCGAATGGCATCGCCTCTGGCCATGAGTGTACATTTCTTTCGTGTTCCATTCCATTTTTTATTGTTTGATATTTTTTCTAAACAGATTTATTTATTTTTTTGCGCTCATATCAGGCGAATATCCGGTGTCATGTCTTTTGCACTATACTCTTACGTTACTGTCATCTGTGTTGCTTTAATGACTGTTCGGTACTCTTACTCGTGTCGGTCGAAAATAAATGTTTTGTGTGGCGATAAGTCAAAAGAGTCAAGTAACATGTTCGCTTCTGATTCATGCTGCTTGCAAAATACGATTGATTCAGTGATGATGGATGACGACAATTAAAACATAATCGCGTGGTCTAGCGATCTGGCTGGAAGCGCATCGATTACTGCCGGTAATTACAATTGATGTTTAGTCTGCAACGTTCCCAAATGTAAAAAAAATTTTTTTTCAGCCAAAATTGCTGAAAAGGCATTCGAGGAAAACGAGAAACTGGAAAACATGTCTTAGAGGCAGATCTGCTGCGACAGGGAATGCCAGAATTACCTAATGTCATTCGGGACTACCGCTGAAGGCAATCAGACATAAACCTGAGCCACTCTGCTGTTTAACCTCTGTTCGCTTCAAATAAACATGCGACAATAGGGACTACGTTGTCATCGGGACATCGAACTATGCAAACGTTGCCAAACAAGCCAATTACATCAAAGCAGTAAAGACGAGGCAACCAGACCTTGTCAGAAAAATTGAAATGCAGCCATTCTCGCGGTTAGAAGATAAATTAACTGTGGACCGACCTCAACAACCTACTTTAAAGAATGGACAAGTGCAAATAGAAAAGAAGCCCATCTAAATATTTTCCAAGAACTTGAGATTTGGAAGGAAGTCCTGCTTCGCCCCATTTAGTGCTCAGCATTTCTTAAACAAAAAAATTGAGATTTCTTGCTCCAGAGTCAAGCGTAATAACGAGGCACTCAAACGAAGGCATCATAAGCAAGTACACGAAATTCTTTTCATCACTGGAACAGCAGCATTGGTTTAATCATGATTCCAAAACACCGGATGCAGAAGCGATGCATTAAGAATGGAGTAAAATCTTGAAATATCCATACAACCGTCATGAGGAGCAAACAGATTACCGGAAGAGGAAAATTCCTCTTAAAAACATCTCAATAATGCGGCTTATCCGGATTAAAGCGTATGACACAATCGATGTCATTAAAAAACGCTCATCATTCAAAATAATTGATTTTCCTACACGGTCCTCACCGTTATACTTTAGATGATGTTGGCAACAACAAGAGAGACACTCATTTAGAAATCACTGGGACTAGATGGCATCCAAAATTATCGGCGGAAATGTTTGATATAAAATAATTATGTACCGACGATGCCGTTTTTAGAAATATTCCAGGATCCCAATTTCCAACTCAACTTCTTTCTACGAAAACGGTGTACAGAAATTGTGAACCCCTGAAGTCAATGACAACAGTCAGCGATGAAGTATGCTTAAACAAAAACGCCAGTGCACGAATGTCTTATCAGCGGGATCGAAGTACATAGATTTATGACGTTTGCAAGAGCTGCAGAATATCCTCATTTCAGGTCGTTTGAGTTAAGGAATATCTCCCTCCGTCCGTAGAATTCAGACGACGAAATTTAAGATCTCTCCTATTTACCAATTTATATAATACTATATAAACACGGCTGTAAAACCGAAGCTTATAGTAAGCGTACCAGAATAAATAAATATTCTATTTTATCATACTATCAAGAAGTTTATCATACTAATTGGAACCTTAACAGATAGAGTTCTTAGACTTTAGAATAATCAGTTTCTTGTGTAATCATTTTTAACAAAACTTTTGGAAAAAATAGCTGATGTTGCTAAATACGAACTATAGCATGCACGCTATATATCAGAGCTAAAATAGGTTTAATGCTTTATTGAATAATTCTCAGAATAAGAATTCTTTATGTTAGGTTTACTAAACTACCCTGTACTACTGCGAAAAGTAACACTGAGGAAAAGACGAACAGCGTCATTCAAGAGACAGAGGTCCACTGTCACGTTGGAGAAGATGAATGACGCGAGAGAACGGAAGCACCATGCGCTTTTGGGGCATCCTCGGAGAAAACAAGCTCCTGTCCCCAAATCAAATCAAAGCGCAATTAGAAAAGATCTCGACGGAGAAAGAGATTGGTTACGTGGGCGTTTGAAGGTGGCACGAATTTCGAATGAGCCGAGGCAATGGATGCGGTTGAAAGAGTTTTGCCAGACTTGTCGCCGGGAAACTAATAAGGAAGCGTTGCGGAAGGTAGGTTCACGTTTCAGCATCAAATGTCTGACGACTTCCCAGCACCCGATCCACCTTCCCACAAATTTACCTCAAAAACCACCTATGTGGCACGGGCTGAAATGTGGGTATCACCTGACAGAGCATAATTTTGCTTTTTAATAATAAACCTCATTATGCAGTTATATTCCATCTTCGAATAATAAGCTAATAGATATGTAAGACCGTGGTAAAACTCGTTTCAGTCATGTCTGGTATAAAAGAACCATTTGATTTCGAATTTTCTATAAGTATGAAGGCGATGACCCGCATGACGCCTGTGCTCGTCGTTCATCGCATCAAAAGTCAACAGCAGAGCATTGTTCACTGACCACAGACAACCTTGGTACATCTGTCTGTGCAGATCACCGGCGCTAATGAAACGTGTTCGTTTGAAATGGACGATTTTAAGCGAAGTAGTTTCGAAATTCTCCGAATCACTAATGGCCAAGGCTTCGCAGAGCGCAGTGCTGTTTTTCAGTTCTCAAGTTCTAAATTTCACCACCACTTCGATTAATGCTAGCGATCGGTTGCCGGCCGAAAAATTAAGGTGTCACACAAGTTTTTAAGTAAGCTCTTTGGAGGACGAAGCGCCGACCGAGTCGCCTCTGGGCACAAAGTTGGTCCGGATTTTCATTTTACCGGTACTAGTTTTTTCACGGAACTCCTGGCAACGATCTAGCAGAAGTTGATTTGCAGGCGCTGCCAAGATACTGTAGCTGTTCTGCTATAATGGTTCGGTATTCAAGCGTTATGCGGGTAATGACGTTTGTGATAGCGCGATATGAACGATATGTTTGCCTGTTGCTATAGTTGCTCTGTCTTAAAAACAGCTCGACATTTGACGGCAGTTTTGTACCGCACCCCACTGCTAGGTAGCCGTGGTTGCTCGACAGAAAAATCACATTCGTCACCGCACTTGCTCCGAGCATCATACGGCGATTTATGCGCAATTTGTGCACATTTCCTGCGAGCTAATTGGCCGAAGCTTCACATACATGCTTCCGAGGCGGTTTGAGGCAACAGAGTTTTGCGGGACTCGTTTCAAAATCTTCTGCTAGTGGTTCGTTCGTTTCGTCGCTCGGTCAGTCATAGAAACAGATGTTTGACTCACAGTCTTTGACTCACGGACGCTTGCCTCGCCCTGTGACTGGCGAGCAAAAGTCCGAGACCCTAAGCGTATAATATCCATGTGAAGGCGAAGATTTTGGATTTTGGTCATGAAGCCGACCCGACATGGGGGCCAAGATTTTCATGTCAAAATCAAGAGCACCGTATTGCTAAAGCAACATCCACATCAACAGTCGGAGTCGCGCCGTTTAGTTACCTGTTTTCTTTCAACATCGTAACGCTCAGGTGGATTTTGGATGACGAAAGCCGACTGACCCCGTTCCGTAAATTATTATTATTAATATGATTATTAGTGAAAGGTGGGACGAAATCACGAATTTGATGCCCGAGATTGGGTCAACATAACAGAAGTCCGATTGTATTTTTTTAATATAAACTTAAC